TCAGCGCATAACAGAAAAAAGCCGCGAGCGCAAAAATTTTAATTACTTTATTAATGCATCAGATGCCAACATACCGCCGCGAGTATAATTTATTTTATTATTTTGACTACTGTATCGCAGCTGAGAAAGATTTAGCAGCTTTTAGCAAAATTGCAGATTATTTTAAAATTAATATGTTAACAACTATTTAATTGTAATGCTGTTGAATCATTTTCAGTAATAATAATATAGCCACTTGTATATCAGCAAACAAGGCGACGATTCCGTTTGATGCTAAAAAAAATTGTAATTTGAACGAGACACATCGTCTTTCGTTCTCACGAAGTTGTCAGTTCGATGATGTACTCGTGCATCTAATTCACACGCGTAGGCGTGAGTCTAATAAAGCTCAAATTTTTACAGCTCAAACTTGGTACCACATATCACTCGCAATTTTTCTGCATCTACGCGCAGACGTATAATGTATGCGCTAGTGATAGAGATATACGCCCACACCTATTCTTTGTTTCGTCGTAAACGGTCGAGCGATTTTCGGAGAATCAGCGATACTTATCGCTCAGCGCAACGCAATATTTAGCCGCCTGTTTACCTACGCAAGATTTTAACCATATGTATGCATGTGCCTGTGTATGTATGTGTGGGTTATAATGCAGAAACGATCCGTGACAGTTTGATTTAGCGCGAGCAGGAGGTACATCAAACAGAGCTTTCTTTTTTGTTGTTCCACGGAGATCTATTGTTTTGGATGCCACGCGCGGCAGCATTGACAATTTAATTGCGATTGATCTTAGCGATTACGACATACCAAAATACTCGCTTGTGTATATGCTCCAGCTGCACTCGTTATTAAATGTGAGGCTAAAAATACCATTCAAATCTAGCCGTATCGATGTGCGATTGTTGATGTATGAGATTGCGTCGACGACATGCCACATTTCGATATTAAAACTTTGCCAAACATATCCATTGGCTCGATCAAGACATATCATTAGGTTGAATTGTCTAGACGAGCAATACTTTTGCTCTGTTGACAAAGAATTTTTAATGGAATTTTTAATAATTGCATTAAAAATATAAAACAAATATAAAAACCTAAAGATGCCACAAACAAAAATAAAAAAGATAATTATTAATGAGCTTAGGCCAAAAATTCACTAATAATTAATGTAGCATGCTAAATATGCATAAGGCGATAGCATTGTATTGCCAAATTATCTTAGTTTTAAGTTAGTTTTTAAGTTAGTTTTAAGTATTTAATATATAAGCTGGCTCCTGTGCACAGAGAGAAATGCTTCTCTCTCTACAGGATTTACATGTATCTCCTAATGGGGAAATTTGTAATTTGAGGCCAATAAATTATTATTATTATTATTATATTTCAGTAGGTCAAACAATTTAGATCGAGTCCTATCTTACAGCCGTAAACATCGAATTTTCGAATTCAGCATAAAATAATATAATATGAATAACGATAGTAAGTAATATTCACAACGATACGTAAAGGATTCGATTTATTATTAACTTAATGGTGACCTTTGTCCTGATGTTCGTAGGTGTGCTGTAGAACCGTACAAAAACGTTATTATTAGAACTATACTTGATAATAATTTGAATATCCATGATACTTCTCACTCGATTCAATGTTTACAAGTCTAGGAAATGGTTGTGCTTGAATAAATAATACTATATAAGCTAGAGAGAAAGAGAAAAAGATAGAGAAAGATCCAGAGCGAGAGAGGAAGAGGGAGAGAGAAATCCTTTGTATGGTCGGTAGCTAAAAAACTGACGCATCGGATTTTTTTAATACCCACAGGGTAGCAGCTCTTGAACCCGGAAATCCAATTGCTCCTTCTCGTCTCCTCTCCTCACTGATCGCATACCTAGTATTACTCTGCTTTTACGTAACTAGCCTCCGGGTGACGTAAGGCGTGCGCCTAACTTTGCACAGTATACTTTAGCGAATGTGTGTGTGTGTGTGTGTTGTTGTCGAAACATGATATAAAAGGATGATGTAAATTCGATCGCTTCTGCGTTCTTTCGGTGTCGTCTCTATCAAGCGATAGATGTATCATTTCTTTTTTTTTCGAGAGAAAAACGAAATAACGAGAAAAGAGCGATAGAGCGAATTTTAAGCGCCTCAAGCGACGTAGCTCACTTTCAGCACGATGTCACGACGACCCTTATATATAGACCGAACTGTCAATGCTTCCAGATCTTTTTTCTCTTTCATCGATCAAGTTTTAAAGTCAAATATATATTGTAGTTTTTTTTCACTGAGAGAACATTTAAAGCGCCAAGGTATAAAACTGATGTTGGCACAGAAAACTGCTTTGCGCAATAATGCGAATCAAGCGGAAAAGTTAATAGAAGTAAAAATTTGGTTTGTGCAGTGTTTTTTTCTCTCTTACTTAAATATTAACTAGAATAATGACTTGACTGCAGTTGCCACGGCACAGCAATTTTTAACTTAAACTACTCCAGCTCGACTTTACTTGTTTTAGCAAGCTTTAATTCTTTTTAAAATATACACACGCACGCGCGAGGCATTACTTAACTAGTTTACACAGGAGAAAAAAAATATGCCCCATTTTTCCACCGTCAAAATTCAAACGCCGTAAAAAGATAACGTGTAGAGGTTGATTAACTTAAGAAGATTATTATGGTATGACAAAAAATGTGAAGTTATTCATTTTCTCTACGCGTTCGACCTTAATAATTAAAAAGCACATTGACGGCATTTGATGCGTCAATAAAGCGTGAACAAATAACCCTACGCATGTTGCCACATCAATTTGCAATCTTTCTCATTCTTTCATTATGATCGATTCATCGGAGAGCAAATTCATCATAGTCATTTTTCCCTTAGTTTTAGGTATGAAATACTTGAGAAACTATGGCTTAGCTCACAAATACACGAGCTTTATGAAATTTTACACATTATGTTGGAAAATTCCATGACAACGCATGGCAACGAGTAAATCTAACGTTAATAATATAACTTCTTTATGAGTTGCAAATTATTTGATCATTTCTCATGGATAAAAAGTCAGATTTTGCGCTATATCACGCATGTGCAGGCTAAAGAAATTACTTCATACGTTGAAATGACAATATCACTTGAAAATTGTTCAGTTCGAGTCAGGCGAGAGTGATGATAGTTAAAAAATTATAAAAATTAAAGAACAACTTAATCGACGCGTCTTTTATACACGGATATAGTTCATGGATCACCCATGCGTACAACTGGTGTATTATGAAGTGTATACATATATATTGGGTACGACCGCAAGCCTTTAGCGCGCGAGGCTACAGCGGCGGCGACGGTGCGTATACGTATATATACTCAACTCCATTCATTCTCTCAAAGCTTAATTGAGTTTCCGTGTCTATCCAGGAGAAAGAAGAACAACACATTTCTATTCTCGTTTACTTTTTTAAGCTCACACGAGTGTAAAGAAGTAAGCCACGTATGGCGCCCGCCGTTGCTGCCGCTGCGGCTTCGCGCGCTGCTTTTCAACTATTGAATAATGTTTTTGACCACGCGTGTCCACAGTAATGGTGACAGTTCAATGTGGAGTGTTGGCTTTTCATCGAAACGACAAAATATCGGGGCTTTGGTGTTTTCGAAACTTTGTTTCCATTTCATCAAACTTTGAATCTGTATGCGTGAAAGCTATATTAATAACCACTGTTTGCAACTTGATTATTTTTGGGGACCAATGAGGTCATAATATTAATCTACTATACTTTTTCATTTGATCTTTGTTTTACAAAAATGTATGACAAATTAAATTATGGATCGTGTTGAGTTCAAGATCTAGGTTATAAATATTTATAAAATTAAAAAATTAACAATGCAGTATCAAATTAAAAAGATTACTCTTGTGTCAACGAAAAAATACAGTTTTCTTGAAAAAACTGGAAAATATTTCCAAGCGTATGATAAACTAAAATAAAATCTTTTCTAGCATATATAATAGGCGTTTCATCAGAGAAAACGCGCAAGAACCAAAAGCCCATTGAAATTGATTTTTCAAAAGATGTTATAATCACGCTCGCGAGCTGTTAAATGCAGTTTGTCTGAAGTGTAATGAGCGCGCAGCTTTTCGACACCTGCGCACAATGACTTGGCGGTAATTCCTCATCTACCTTAAATCAATCATCATAAAAATCCAATTATCACTGCAGTGCTGAGCTGTAGCACTCCCTATACACAATGAGATAAGCTTCTACAAAGGTAATTTCTTAAATCTTTGCCAGTCTTTTCTTTTTCATACATTTTCTTTATTCTTGGTCGATATTCCAAGTGAGCTACGGAGCAAGCCACAATGCGGGCTTGATTGTCAAGGTGCTAAATATGCGCGCTATAAAAATAATACCTCGCTCATGCACGAAAGGTCGTTAATGGCGGTTCATTGTTATAATGTGCCTCGCGCAGCAAGCCAGACGAAGACGACGACGACTACTATACTACGACTCGCGAAAGGATGTCGTGTTAGAATTCGTCCTCTCATCGTGCGAGATCTAAACTCCGCAGTGGCCTTGACAGGGGATCGTTGCGAACGAGGAAAAACTGTTATAGGCGCGCGATGGCGCGGCACTTTTCTTCTGCGAGCATCTCCATAGAATCGCGCGCACGAGAGCCAATTGAAAATGCATTTACTGCAATATAATGACGACGATGACGCTTTATAATAGGAAATCGACTAGTACGGCATTTAGCGGATTGCGCAATCTCGCTTAGTCGATTAAGGTTGTACACGCATGCAGATGCGCGCAGTGGCTTTATGTAATTTCGATACCGTCACAAGTGGAATGGAGGTAAGTCGCGAGACAGCTGATGATTTCAAGTGCCGATTGAAAACGCCGTTGGAGCATTCGAGTCGAGACCTGCACATTCGATGCGTATCCAAATACAATTTGAAACAATTTCTTGACTGAAAAGAGGAATGAAAGACTGGAAAAAAAGTACAGTCAATGCTCAAAGTTCTTACGCAATATACGTTTGAAACATCCACATTTCATTTGACATTTATTAGATTAAAACTAAACCAAAAATTTAGCCATGTTTCGTGCGATAATGCTAATATTTAAATATACGTATATAAGGATAATAAAACTCATACCATCACACCATAAATATTAACTTCAACACTAAAGGTTTTTTCAAACGAGCCTGAACGCTCACTTTTTTTTTTTTCATATTCTGTATTCACTCGTAACAAATAAGTCATAGTCGATTGCTTCACCAAACGTTGCATACATTAAATATACACGGTTATAATTGTATAATTTTTAACGAAGTCAAAAAACTTTTTCAATTCAAAGCAACCAATTTTTGGCATGTTTCTAAAATAAGTTATGAATAAAAATGTAGTTGTTGCTCAGTGCTTTGGGAAACCAAATTTCGCATATATTGTACCACGTATATCATTCATTAAATCATCGAATCTGTTCACTTTAGATAAGAAAATCTGATAATCTGAATTATTTTGTTGAAAAAGTTCAATGTTGCACGCTCTAATAAACGCCAACTCGACTAATTCATTGACTTCCTCAAGAATTTTTGACATATATTGATCTTTTTCAATTTTTTCATTGACTGCTTTTATAATCAAACTATCTAGCTGTTTTATAGTATCTTTCAGATGCCTGAGACCATCGTAACACAATTTATGGTTTTTGGACAAGTTTTCGTATTTATGTCTGTAATCATAAAGAAAGTTTCTGTTCGATGAGTAAAACTCAAAATACTAAAGAAATAATACCACAAAAAAATTAAAAAATGTCAAATCATGAAATAATGATAATTTTTAATAATACTGTTACATTTATCTCCTTATTTTAATTTTGATTACGGAAAATTTGCGTTTTGTTTAATAGAATTTGAATTTTTTAATTTGATTCAGCATCATGTAACTAAAAAAAAATACCTTATATGGTTGAACGCATCATGCACCACTTTAAACTCTGCTTTAAACGCTGGATTTGTCATTCTGGTACGGTTGTAATCTAAAAATTGCGAGTAAGTACGCATACGATCGTTTATTTCTTCTAAACGCTCTTTAATGATTGTACCTTCTACCGTAGCTTTCTCTGAAAAATCAAATAAAATCAGTTTTTTAAATTTATGTATTAATCGTGAGCCAAAATGACATTGGTAACAAAAAATTTTTACCAAAATAGTCAACCAATTCATCTTTTAATATATAAGCCTGTTTAAAATCGTAATCCGTGTCCAGAAGTTGCTGCTTTGTTTCTTTAAATTTTGAGGTATCTATATTGTTCGCCATTATTGACGCTGTTACTGTTATCACGTTACAAAGGAACTGTTGAATTTGAATCTTAATTACTAACAACGTGAGAGCTGTTCAAAAGGAGACAGGAGGCAGAGAGGGAGCAAAAGCTCTGAACTATCAACTGTTCGTATGTTTTTGATTTTGTTTGACAACGAAGAAATTCAATAATGTAAATTCTTTTCAAATTTAATTATGATCTAGTTCGATTATTCACGATTATGAGATATTATCTTGTTCGCAATACTATTTGTGCTTAAATTCAAGTTAGTTACATAAATACATAACATTACTATAAAAAGATAAATTACGCACAAAATTCTGAACATTTCAAACGTACAAATTCCCGCTTAAGGGCAGTCTCGAAGTCCATTTTATTAAGTGCACAATATAATCACTACAGCAAGCGATACACGAGTTAAAAAATTCTCGGTCAAGAATAATTTTTTAGTCCATATCTAAGCTATGTATAATAAGATAAGTAAGATTTGCGCTTGTGAATGAATTAACATTAAGCTCTATTCTTAACACTTACCACTCTGTAAATTAATAGAAAAAAATTTTAAACGCACTAAAAATTGCATTTAAGTATTACCAATTTTTACAGAATGTTGATCTAAAATTAGAACTTTACGATGTAAGGACGACGATTAAGTTATACAGCTAAGGGCCTAACATAGCAATGGTTTGGAGATCTATGAAAAAACATTGCTCACCATGAATAAAGTATTTTTCATAATACTAGGTAAATGCTCACTAGTATCCTCTTTTATAAGTTGCCATTATGATGGGATATGAGGTTAGCGCACGAGTGTAGCAGTGTGATAGACTCGTGGATGTGCTAGAATGTGCAACTTATGTCACAGAAAAGTGTGCCATGAGTGTGAATCTATGTTACGCAGTGTTATAAACGTTATTTTCATTTCGATGCCGAATATCCTCTTATTTTTAAGTAAATTAATGAAAATTGAGTTCGCTGTTTACGTTCTATTTTATACATCATAGCATTTTTATGTATAATAATTACTAAATTTGAAATTTTTTATTGTATAGTTATTTTTTAACTTAAATTTTAGGCTTGTATTTGCTTTATCATACAAGAAAAGGAATGTTAGAATTCAAATATATTTGAGTACGCATTTCGATCAAGTTTTCGTCACAGCAGCCGATATCCCTTGATAAAAGAGTTCTAGTGCACTAAAATTCTTCTTTACTAGATTTGTTTCATAGGAATTCTTGCTTTATTTCCTAAATTTTTAATCAAAAATCTCGTATTTTATTTTCCGAGATCTTTTGTGAACGCACACGGATTATCTATCAACGTTATTAAGGCAGGGTTTAGACTACATTGAAACGTATGTGCGAGAACATTCACTTACAGGAATGCGCGAGACAGAAAGCACCATTTGTGTTGTGTCCTTTCACCCGTTATTCGCTTATTTTAGGACGTTGAATGCTTCGACAATGCCGTTTTCGCCGTTTCAATAAACTCTTTGCTGGCAGCAAATTTGTGAATTTTAGTTTATATTTCTATACAGGCTGTGTGTAAGTAATCTTACCCAAGCATAACCTTCACTGTTCTAATCCATCATCAATTTTTGCTTATGCGATAATTTACGTTATTTCTTGAAGAATCCAAGAATGCTTAACATTATATGTAAAATCTCTAAAGCTAATACACCAATACATCATCATTTTTTACAATCATTGAAACAAATTATTCATTTTTCCACCGTTTTAAAAATTTTAACTTCCAATGAGCAAAGTTTTATAAACACACTGAAGTTCATGTGTACGCAATGAAAAATATCATTGCGATTGATTACTATGAATTTTATAGTCAAGCCATTAATTATTTCAATTAACACTTCATCGTGTATTAAAGTTAAGGTATATCTTCTGAAAATGTATAAATGATTACTTTTGTACATGAGTAATTAATTTCATGCTTATATTTAATAGAAAAAATAAAAGAAACAGTTGTATCTGTAGTATTTATTAAATTTCGCCGGACTGACAAACGTGCAGAAACGTGTACATAAAATATGAGAAAGAAAAAAGTGGAATTTCAATTTTTAGCAAACCTACTCGCGCACCTCATTTCCGTATAACAAGAACCCTGCACGTTTTTCTGTCATCATCATTCTTATAACTTTTCCGCTCTGTATCTTTAAATAACGGAATATGGCAGCTGAAAGAAGAAAAAAGAGACTTGCGGTACACATCCGAATTTTCAATGAATTGCTGCTTGCGTAATTCAATGCACATTTCTCCCGCGCTGACTTTCTCGCGGCCATCTTGAGAAATTTAATTTAATTTTCTTTTTGCCAGTCCACCGGATTGCACTGCTATTATAATTGATTGGACCTTGAAGAACAATTTTGGAAATCGAATAAAGTTTTCGATGAGCAAGCGCGAAATTCTTGAATACGTGCACGTAAGGAGTTCAAGTGAAATTCGGAACACTTTTTTCCCCTCATTGTTGCACAATAATACTTTTGATTTCATCTTTTCATCTGCAGTACTTTTTGATGAATGTAAAATCACCGACAAACTAAAAAAAATCATACAAAAATATAGGAACGCAAAATTATGCAAGTATTTGACAACACCTAGGATTTCAATCCTTTCGTGGATATATTATTTGGTAAAAACAATAAAAATAAAAGAATACAACTGGTAAGGTTTTCTTTATTTATCTTTGAATTGCTGTTGATATTCAAGTGTGTCAGATTTATGTTCTTCAGGAATAAGTACATAAAAATGTTTGATTTTAATCTTCATTTAAGTACTCATTATTCAATACTCAATATACTCAATATATTTATTAGTATAAATCAACAATCAATATCCGAATAGCATAGCTATCTTCTCATATTCAAATTTGATGAAATTGAATCATTGGGTTAACCTGAACCCAGGGAGAAATGATAATTCGAAATTTATTCTGAAAGATAATTCATTCAAAATGTACAAAATATTGCACATCTTATTTCTGTATAATAATGGTTGCGATGAAACAATCGCAACATTTTTAGCATCAAAGCTATTTTTCAAATTCAATGAAAATTTCAGTACTATTGTAGCTACATAAACATGTTGAAATATTTTCAAATTTATTAACCAACATGTGATCTAAGTATTGTTATTATAATTGAAATTATTGAAAGCCTTTAAGTAGTAAATTGAGTATTCCACATTATATATATCCTGTGCTTTGTGTCTAGCATTTGGTTTGTTTGTTGTCATTCGTTTTATTGAAACGATTCTGCATTTTCACCCACAAATTCTAGCAAGCTCCTTATAAATACAGGTATACGTGTGGAACATCGTGAACTATCCTCAGTGCAGAGGTAGAGCATTCAATGTATTAATTAAAATTTCACTCTCCATATATAATACAGAAGAAATATACATAGAACGGTAGCGGTAGCGGTAACAGTAAGAGTTTTAATTAACCGCACGTAGCTCATCAAATGTCGAAACGACTCCTGCCTCTCTGTGTACCCTTATGCATCTGCTGTAACTATATGTGTGTTTACTTCATATATGAACCAAAAACATCGCTCGCAAGGCTCGTAAACTTATTTATCTCATACAGTGAGCGATCGAGGTTTATAGCGAGATGTCAACGCGATACAGTTTTATGGATGTATGATGTGTTCGGGAGACCGAGGTCCGAGAAAAGGCCATTGCGGATCCTTCGAGGAATATCGCACGAAATGAGAGATCGAAGGTGTATCATTCGAAAGTGATGTTTGATTACCGAACGAAGAGCCTCCCAAAACAAGATAAACTTTTTTCACGATGCGAATTACAAAGTATGTACGAGATATTTCGGTTGCAAAATGACACTGAAAATGTATAGCAAAGGCAAAATAATTATAGTGGAATAATGCGCAGTTGGCGATGGGCTCGTTACGTACATGGGCTTATATACATGTATATATGTATACAAATGCAAACTGGCGTGCGCGCGAGAGATTCTCTTAGGCCAGCTATTATAAAGAGAAAGAGTAGCATCTGAGATACTCGACTCGGAGAGAGAGAGAGAGAGAGAGAAGGACGAAGAACTGCGGCGCGGCTCCTCGTCATAGTCATCGTGCCAAGGCAAGGCAAATGCATGCGAGGAGCGAGAAGCGCAAAGAAGGGAGGAGCAGCAGCGAACTGCAGCATCTGCGAGACTTCTCCTCTCACACTCTTGACTATCTCTTAGCAAAGGACGAGTTTTCTTATTATATAGGAGGCTCCACGCGCTATATAAACACCGGAGACCGGCATGCTCAACAGTTAGACGAGTGCGCGCCTCAAGACACACATACGTAACGGCTGAGATCTGTATGCGCTCACATACATTTCTATACTAAGCAAATAAATAATATTTCTTTTTTCTGCTATCAACAGTGCTTATTTTTCAGTTGTTTAGTGCCTGCTTTGAGAGTTTCTGCTGTGATTTGAATATTTGAATATCGTCTGCAAGAGACTGTGCGTGATTGGGGCATATAGTGTTAATGATGTAAAATATTGTGAGACGATTAAGCTTGTGCTTACTTATTGCAGTGACATGATTATGGTTACTTTTATGTTACATACGTAGAAAAACTGTTAAAACGTTGTGAAACTAATTCCCCTAAACGCTGATTTTCTCTTTTAAAATGATTCAACATATTTAATAAAATTTTTAACTGCCTAAATTACACATCAACTCTCAAAGCAAGTACAAGTACAATTTTTATTACCTTGGAAGGTTACGCTATTTGATTCAACTAACTTTCTGATAAAAAATATTTCAAAATCTTTACTTAATAAAAAAATAAAACGAACTATCGACAGGATATATGAGAAGAAACATCACGCAACAACGTGGAAACGTGAGCTTTCCCTGAGAAGCAATTTTCCCATTGAATTCGATCGATTCGCCTGATTGGCCCAGAGGCCGAGTGATCGTCCGAGGCTCGCGCGCACGTCTTTGAGTGCTCGTTATTGGGGGTTGCAGAAAAGAGCCCAGCGACGAAAAGGAGATAACGAGACATCATCATGCTGATAGGCATTTCACGAGTACAGGTACACACAGCCCATCTTTTATGTATTATATATAGATATTTTTATATATAACACACGTGCACAGTGCAAACGCACAGTGTCGACAAGGAAAATATTTTGAAAAAAATTGAATTTTGAAAAGGTAGTGGGTATTCGATGATATAAGCATGCGCGACGAAGAGAAAAAACGGTATATTTGTTCAAAAAGATGTGCAGCATTGATAAAGTCGAACTACGTGCATTATATCTCGGGAAAACCTCGAACAATGGCGGGTGAAATCTATAAAGAAGCAAATCAATAGAGCTGGCAGCTATAGTAGCGCAGCTCGAACGCCGAGATCGAAAAATGTATTATTGATCGGGTGCAGTGGCTCGTTAAGCTCGTCTATACAAATGCTGTGCAGAGCTTAATTGATGCGTATAGTGCGAGAGCATGATTGTACACATCGGAAAGGGAAATTCCCTTGTATACAGGCGCGATGTTTATCCAGCTATGGGGCTATTGTCGCTGTCGTGCCGTGTGTACACAGACGAACGCGCGCTATATGGCGAATTTATCGAAGATGAGAAACTCAGACGTGATGCACTGCAACAAGATGATAAGGCTCGCGTGGGTCCGTGTGTTACTTGCGTAATTTTGTGAAAATTCGAGAGCGTCGTGTGTCTCGATCAGCTAGATCGATTATGACCGTTCGTATGATGCGATAACTTGGACGTCGTGCGTGCAAAAGTCATCCTCGTCTGACTTTTATAATCTTCGTCTGAATCGATAACCACTGAATGATCGCTCTTCGCTGTTTTATAACATGCTTCGAGAGGGAAGGAAGAGAGATTCAAGTTTTTGAAAAAAAATGTTTTTGCCTTATTGTTAGAAGTAAACTATCTCCTGGCTCTCCATATAACAGATGAAACTGTCTGATATCTTGAAAAATGGCTTCGCGCATTTGTACACATAAATTACAACATTTCTAAGGCTGCGCATCCTAGTCTGTTTACGTATATACGAGTAATATTAAAACTAGAGCGCGAGGCAGAACGAGCAGTTCAGGCTCCAATGTAAAACACGTGAAACGTCAGGGATGACACGTGGAGCGGTTTAATTATTCCTAGAGTAACAGAATATTGCCATGTAGCCTTGCCCTTATATCTATCGCGCGAGGCAGTGATGCTTGCTTTTTTTACCTACACACGTATTTATAACTTACGAGCGTAGAAAAATGCACACAACCGATGATTAAAGTTTAATAGAGTAACGAACGTGAATGCTGTAATGAACTTCTTTTTTTTATTCTTTTTTTTTTCATTATAAAAACTGTGCCATATGTATATTTGTTGCTAGTTGCTTTATACATCATCATAGAAATACCCTACAAATAACAGTTATCATGAAAAATTTCTTTTCAACGATTTTTTTTTATTTTCCTCTTAATGATTCGATTTGACACTAATGCGTTGTAATATGATTAATTACTCACTCTCTTAAAAATTATATTTAAATAATTATAAAAATTTTGCTCGCAGAAATAATCAAAATTTAACTATTTTTAATGATTTACTCATAATGAAATTAAAAGATACTTTTTATTATTCTCTTTCTAATAACATTTTTGTCTCGGACCAATCTCGAACATTTTTTGCTACTAAAATATCTATGGGTTGATTAATTATCCATAGATTGCTGACTACGTTAATGAATGAAAAAATCAAGTCAACAATTTTGTCAAAAAAATATACAGTTAAAGTCCAAAAGGTTAATAACAATTCTTATTATCTCGAGAAGTTGAATTAATGAAATATTTAGCATTTTCCATTTGTGTTGCATCTGTAAGTAGATATTAATTTAACAGATTTAAAAATTCAGTCATTAAAAATTTTATCCCTATTCCCCATGCACATAAGCCGATCTATCTCTACTTTCATCTGTAACCTTGCTTATATTGCTCCGAAAGAAGGCTCAAATATTTAAAAGTGTAAAAAATCCAAAGCACACGCTGTGATATATCTTTAGTATCGTGAACACCCATGTATACGTTTGCTATACTGCCGAGCAGTGTTAAAACGTCAATTGTATAACCTATCCTCGCATTGCACGTTGCCGTTCGAACATCGGAAATATATCGCTTTACGTAAGCTGTTACAGTATACACACGCGCGTGCATGCAAAAAAGCCACTCTCCCCGGAATATAAGGCTCGTTACATGTTTTTTAACATTAGGAGACATAACCAGTCTGAATGGGAGCAATGAAGATAAAAAATTATTGAAATACATCTTTATTATGCTTGTAGATCGAATCCAATTTAGAGAATATGCAAAAGCTCATTCTCTGCTATAACCCTATTATATAAGCATTCAAAACTTTTATTATCACATTCTAATTGAGTATAATAGGATTAGCCATCGAACGACGCCACAAAGCGAATTTTTCGATTTTATCGAGCAGCTATAATGTTCTCGAGGTTTGAGTTTTCATTCCGACATAGAAACTACTTTGAATTTTATGTAAACGTAGAAAAAAACGCAATGGAAATTAGTCCAAATGAATGAAAGAAAATTATCTAGTTAGAATGTTATTGCATTTCAATATTTTCTATATCCAAACGATCAGTTGTAGAGCATCGAATTTTTTTCATCAGTAAAAGTAATTAAATTTTTCATTCCTGTGCTAAAATAAATGTTATGCGATAAATATTCCGAAAGAAAAAAATTAGCAAAGTCTCTTGCGTGTAGATAAAAGTAATACAATGAATCCGACAATCAAATTTTAATCTGGCTCCTTTTTTATATCAGTTACAATACAATCTCAGTTGGGCATCTTTAAGCAACTGCAAGTTTGATAGTCTAAAAGCAACTGAGTCGATTCATTTAAAGGATTTTTTCGTGTTTTTCTTACTGCAAAGCTTCGCCCACAATACGTAAATTTATACAAACATACACGCAAACCCAATCTTGTTTTTTGTATAGCTTATATACGACTTGTGCCACAATACATACACATTTGCCAATGTATGCACACTTACGAATATATACAAATGCTCCATCTACATCGCTCGTGAAGATCGGTGCCATTGTTCGAGAAATTGCAACAATCTGCGTGCATTAGTATGTGGCGAAGCTAGTATAGACGTTGATACGCACAGCATGTATAAGTATGCATGGGCGATTCACTTTCATTTAAGTTTTTGCTACCGAAAGAAAAAAAAGAGACGTTGATGTTTCATTGGCTAAACCTTACATTTTTCAAAGTTATTGTGTTAAAGATGTCTTTTTTAAGGTCGGTACTTTTGAATAATTGATCACTTTCATTCTACATAGAAGTTTTGCGTGTTGTTAACTGTAACTATATCACTAATCACTATCCACTATCTTACTGACAATTGGTATTTAAATTCTTAAACCCTTTGTATTTACTCGCGCAAACAAGCCTACATCCTACCAGAGCTTGACAGCGCTCGTGGATCTAAGCTGAAAAAGTGTGCGGGAAATAATCCACAAACAACCCCATCACTCTTCGTATAGGGGACTCCAAAAGCCGGTGTATAGGGATCTTCTTCTCCTTATATGTCAGACGTGTCCCTTGCGTAGACCTTTCTTTGATTCGTCTTACACCAGCTTCCTTATGACCCATATGACCCCTATGACTATTTGAGTCGAAATCTGAGGGAAGTCCTTATTACATTACTCCTTAACTTGTGCTCCTTTATACAAGAAACTTCGTCCAATAACAATTTTGATCATTTATAGCTTTCATATATTGACTCCATCAGTTCAGTTGACCGCATGCCAGCTACTCTTTTATTTTTATTAGAACTAAGCGCTTATTCGGATAACCAGTCAGTTATACTATTTTTCCAGATCCAAGTACGTTGCCGTACTGATAGCTGTCGTCTGATACTATTGCAGATGGCAGTGTGTAAATCACTCAAGTACTGGCTCATAAGTAACAATGCCTATAACAAACCTTAATACTATTACATGCATAATAAATCATGCCCATTAACAATTTAACGAAATAGTAAATACAAGTAATATTGACCTTACTTCAGTTTAAGCTATTATTTAATAGAAATTATAAGTTGTCTGTACAAATACTGGAGAATGTGTATCATTTTAATATAATCATATGAAAATTCATACAATTAATCTAACATATAAAAGAAATACAGTCACCGTAATTATAAAAAGTATAAATCAATTCCCAAAGAAAAAAGTAGTGTGATTCTTTGTTTACAGTTTATAATTGTAAACAAAGATATTCTATTGTTTATCGTAAAATCTTAATTTGAAATCGCTTACTTTCTGCAATTTTTGAATAATGTTAGTTTTTTCTCAGATTTTAAACCAACTACTTTTTGTCTTGCACATCGAAATTAACATTAATGATGAAATTATCATCTAAATACTTTCATTGTTGCTCAGCTGACGCTACTATGCCTCTTCCTTGGAACACACACAACGCTCGGCGATCTCCCGCCGGGTACTCGAACCCGAGCCAACACTTATCTACCACCGGATCAACCTAAAAGCGGCTACGACTACAACAAACCATCAGGTCCAGGTTTTGGGCCTGGACCCGCGCCAAGGCCGCCCCAGGGTCCCCCCGCAAGGCCACCAGCCCCTCCAGCTCCAAGACCACCTGCTCCAAGGCCACCAGCGCCCCCGTCTATACCCAGTCCTGGGAGACCTTCACCACCCGGCGGTGGCTATCCAGCTCCAGGACAGAGGCCTTCGCCTCCTTTCCCCGATTACGCAGGATCACCTAGTGGACCCAGCGGACAGGTACTATTCAATACTCGCGCGATCTTGATTTCCTCGTTCAACGCGCTTGATTAATTAAGTAATTACGCAGCGATGAGATGCCGATGAGACGTTACAAGACGCCGCGGCAACAACAACGCGTAATTGCTCGCACAAAAGATGCAACGGATTCATTAGTATGAAGCGTTGTGATGTAAAAATGTACGCTCACACGAACGTGCGGACTTTGTTCGGGGGAAAAAGAAGGGTACGAGAGAAAGAAAGAGTAGGAAAAAAAATTGTAGTATATGCGCGCTGTGTTGCGGCTGCTGTTTTGGCCAAAGGCTGATGCTGCATTATCATTAAAGTATACCTAGTATGTGCGAGAGCTTCTCTTATTTCACGCAGAGAGTAAAAAATTTAATTTTCCTTTGAGGTGATATTTTTTCCTACTCTTTCGCTCTGTCTCTCGGCATTCATCTACACTTCTTCATAGTGTATATTTTTGTCTCGGTTAGTAAGGGCGCTCGCACAAATGCTTTGTACTGCGCGCGCCGAGGTATCTGCCTGGCTATATACAGTTGCGCGCATTTATGAGCGCAAAAAAATACACGCGCCGCTCCGTGTCTCGTGTGTTTACTATAAAACCAAAAGTCGGATTCCTTTCAACGTTTTTTCTTTACAAATCGCGCACGCTAACTTTGATGTAATTAAAATACTTGCGAAAGCTTAATTCACTCACAACGTTATTAAGTTCTTTTTTGAAAATGAGAGAAACGAGAGATAGGCAAAAATTAGATAAGGCTAAAAAAGAGCCGAGAGGGCTTTCAAGGCTTTATTATAATTTGCATACTGGCAATACGAATCTTTCCGATCAGCCTCGGGCAGGGGTCCATTTCAATTTAACCTGCTGTTTTTTTGTTCAAATATCCAGGCACGTAACATCTCCTTTGGAGTAATTACTTTTATTTTCAATGTATCCTTACAATTAACAGTAGAGAGTGATGTTACACACTTTTTACTGGAGCCTCGTTATTTTTACGTAATCTGAAATCAAAATATCAGCTGGTCGACTTTTGAATATTCCCTTTGGAATGTATGTCTTCGTGTAAACTGAATATAGTTGCAGCTTCAATCCGACACATCACAGACACAGTTTGCCGTCAAAGTACAATATATGCCGTATGCTTACGTGTATATCGATTATGACGAAATAACAATTTGACAGAGACGATATCGTAACCCGCTGCCAGCGTAACGCACATTTAGCTATCGCGATGATTTGTTATAATAGGCAAATTTATATTGACTTATGATATTCAAGAATCTAAAATAAAGTATCCAAAGGTAATCGTTCTTTCGTTTCGTAAATGACGTTACATCAACGGGTCGAGGTAAATTACAACTCTCGCGCGATCATCGTACGACCGAGTCGATTATCCATAGCGCTAGTACGTCGCATATGGCAAGGTGCCTGTTTTTTCCGTCTTTAAACAAAAGAAATTTTTTTTCCTCGAGCGCGAAAGGCTGAATCCGCGTGTCGATGGAAAATCTCTGAAATTCGCGTGCAGCTTTAAAGCTCGAGAACGAAAAAAAGCTAGCGTGGATAAGCGTCAGTGTCTCTTGCAGGAGCTTTCATGGCAAAACACAGAGCGAGCGAGAAGCCGTAAACGTTAGTCACGGCTGCTTCTCGAAACGCCGCGAAACGACTGTCGAAGACACTTATAAACACGAGTTGTAGTTGTTATCCCTTATCTGCGTGCTGCTGGCATTTTCCGCGCGCGCGACACAGCAACTCGGCAGAGAAGCTTCGCTATCTCACACGAAAATAAACGTGTACTACGTAATGCATCTCGTACATGAGTGCGTATACATATATACATACATACATACGGGCCACTGTTGATAATAATAATAATAATAATCTGAGCCTAACTTAGACGAAAAAACTTGTTGTGTTGTGCATATAGGCAAATAATTTAGCTGTCGACGTCGACGGTATGTCTGATTTATCTTTCAAACTCTGATAACAAGGACTTTGTCGGTCCTTTCTCTTCGCGTGTACATCATACTCGTGCAAACTCTACGTCCTTTTTTCATCGTAATTAATAACAATTATGAGGTGGAAGCAAAGGAAGTTTCTTAGCCCCAAGTGTCGTGAACGAGGGTGAAATGTTGTACCGAATAAATCTCCTTACTCGGCTTCTGTAAATGCACACAAAGAGTGAGTGAGAGAGAGAGAGAGAGAGAGAGAGAGAGAGAGGCAGAGGGAGGGGGGGAGGGAAAGAGAACTGTTGTATATATACGATCGCTTTTGTCTGCTAAATTGATCGGAATATTGCAACGGTGGGCCAGAATATTTATGAGAATCAATTAGGCTCGTCCTTTTATTCGGGAAATATAAAACGCGGCGCGTGCCGAGCGTGAGCTAAACATCAAGCTCGTTTAATTAGCTGTCTGCCTCGCTCTCGACTGTATTATATTATGTACGTGTCACGCGCCAATCAGCGAGCATCTCTCTTATGTATACAAGCGATTCTTTCTTATTCATCTCGCTTTATTATTTGGAGTATTTGTAATCTCATTCAAGAGGCCTACATCAAGCTCGCGTGTATTACAATATCTTGACTCTATAACATCTTCGTGTCCGACACTTCATTTTGAATTTCCATCCGAAAAAAAGAAAATAACACGAAGTGAATCTTTTCTTGCGTACACACCGTTATATAATATTTTGTGATGAATTGTAGATTTTTATTGTATGATTTCTTCAATATTTTGATGACAAACTTGTCACAATTTAAGCTGAAATTTTAATTTGTTTACTTGCTTACATTTTACAAGCACTAGTCGAGATTTTTTTGACAAAATTCTATACGAACATAAGACAGCTAAATTACGTATATTCTTAAATTTTTCTTATTTTTCTAACCATTTGATTAAACTTAATATAAGTACAACATTTTTGTCCATTCTCATATTATGTGAAAAGAAAAAGAAAAAAAGATGGTCTCTCGAAAGCGGCGACGATGTATTGTAATGCGATTCGATCGAGCTCGCAGGAAAGAACAAAGCCCAGTTAATCCCACGCACTGGAAATTCGATTTTCCGAAGCTAGGTATAGTGCAAGCGTTGCCCTTTTTAACTCGCGTGTGTTTTTTTTCTAGTCGACGTCGTTGTTGGTAGCAGAGGTAGATTTTTCGCGTCGCCCGAGCTTATATCACTAGCGGCGTATAGCCAGGACATTACACGCGTAACGCAACACCTCTTCAACTTATTCTTTTTCTTTTGACTGCCGTATGCGCGCTAGGTTCGATATAATGGGAATCCCTCGGAACGCGCGCAATGCTGGCAAATTACCACTATTATATGCATGAAATTTATAACTACGCACGTCCAGTCACGGTATTTTCTGATTCAGCCGACTCGACGCTGCTGCTGCAGTATGTTACGAAGATGTGAGCTCGTTTCGTGGACGAGGGCCTCGATTATAACAGTTGATAGACGATGAGTTAGTTATACTTTCTCCAGTGGTAAAATAGCTTGGGGTGCTTATTACATATTTCTACACTGCGGCCAATGAAAATAACAACGATCTCTCGGGCGTAATACATTTCTTATTCTTACGTAATTGACTCAGAAAGTTTTTTCACATTTTTCGCACGGCAGAGAGTAACGTACTGTTTCGCTGTTCTCAAATCAAGATAACTCACGCGCAAACTTGCACACTCGCACGAGGATACACGCACATCATACATAATGTATACATGTGAGCTGAAAAGAGCTTATATACTTTAATGCATGTAAAAAATGCAGTTATTTGCAAGAAAATAGATGATGTATTCAAAAGAAAATTGTGATTATAATATTGTTTTATGACAGATTGTGATATATGACTCTATTCATATGTACAATAGTAACTCACACAAACGCGCGCGTGCACGAGCAAGTTCTCGAGGTGTACTTCAACGTCTTGAGGTTACGGAAATTGAAATAATTCGAATGTTGCAAGCAGAAGTGAGTTTTTAAATATGCATAATGGCATTTGTGTATTTCAACGAATCAGAACAGCGCGCTGATTTAAAACGTTTTTATTTCGGTTCCGAGGCAAACTTTGCCGGCAAAGAATAATGAATGCAAAAAATGACTTTTATCAGTTTCAAATTCTCACGCAATATTCGAACAAAAGTGCATAACAAATGCCGGGGCAACTACAAAAAAAGTGGGAGCAGCGCACACGTATATGTATATGTAGCGCGTCGAAACAACAAAAAAAAGCTGCGCAAGTTTTTTATCAGTGGAATTTCAGCTGTCGAGCTTGCGCTACCTATGCACGTGTGCGCGTACGCGTGTATACGTTCACGTTCGCGCTGCAGCTACAGCTAAAACGAAATACCGTAGATGTGTAGGATGGATAGGTAAATTGCAAGAGCAGTCAGAGTGAGCGATTTGTAGCTTTATACACACAAGCTCTGGCGCGCGCCAGCGTGAACGTACGCGAATACGTATATATCCGAGGCGCGTGTACACGAGTGGTATTCGAAACTCGGCAAGAGGTCTAAACGTCGTTAATTATGAAGCTTTCGAAAACGACGCGACTTCTTGCTGCTGGGGTCGGTCTAGCATTTTTTCCGTTATCACGTTCGTGTTTAATTCTTTTGCGAGGCAAGGAAAAAAAAACACAAGTATACTTATATGTATTATACAACAACGTTTTGTTTTTTCTGTTGCAGCCGGGCGGCGCTGACCACGTACACGAGCCAGGCATGCCATTCGACTTCAATTACGCCGTCAAAGAAGATGCCTTCGGCAACGATTACTCGCACAACGCCATTAGCGACGGCGACGTGACGCGGGGCGAGTATCGCGTCCAGCTACCCGACGGCCGCACGCAAATTGTGCGCTACACCGCCGACTGGAAAAACGGATTTAACGCGCAGGTCTCGTACGAGGGCGAGCCACGATTCGGGCCTCCCGCCGGCGGTGGCGGTGGCGGTGGCGGCGGCGGCGGCGCTGGCAATTTCCAAGGATACTGAGTGCCACCAGAGAATTATTCATAATATAAAAGTCAAAGCGCTTTTGCACCGCCAGTTATTCTTTGAGTCTCTCCTCAATCTCTCTCAATTTTTTAATACTTCATGTTCGCCTAGATTATGCGCTCAAACTACTTATGAATTATTTTTACCATTTATAACGTTTCATATTCTTCAATCGGGCGATTTCTACATTGAGAGAGGATGAACGTCAGAGCAAAAACGGCTGCAATTTCACTGTATTCTTAAAATTCTTTCATTTTCTTCGTGTACAAACATACTCTCACTGCAAGAAAATTTCTACGGTTTGTTGCAATACAATTCGCATACAATTCATTCTTCAACGAAATGAATTAAAAATGACAATTCTCATATGTCTCATTTAGATTTTAATTTACGTTCTAATAAATTTGTACCCGAAGAAAGAAAAAGAATTGACATACCATAATCGAACAACCAAGTTACCACACTCCAAATGGTACATAATCAAGTATTAAACAACAAAAAAGTTAAGATGCATACGTTACACATGTCATAATTTATCAAAAATGTATATGAACTTTATAAAAGCTAACACATAGACATGAATAACAACGTACGTACATTACTCAATTATAATAAATGTTTTAGTTTATTACTGCTATATATTTTTATAAACTATCTCATATTTTAATCATGCTTGTACTGTACAAAATAAGGATTTGAGAATAAAAATTGTAAAATAAATAACATCGTTACTTATCCCATGAGCGAGCAGAATTTGTACAAAAGACGGTTAGAAACGTGATTTCAAATAATTATTAGACGCAAGTCAGATTGAATGGCTAATACCATAAGTACGTTCGAAACAGATATACGTATAGTACATAATGCTACTACGCCTATAGTTTGAGGCTGAGATAAGACACGTGTAGGCAATTGCGCACAACTCAATCGAATATATGCACGCGTGTGTCTCGCGTTCGTCGGGCACGCCGCCCACGCATAATGTACGGGATTATATCCGCATCGGGTGAATTTGCATAATATAATATCAGTTAGGCGTATGTTCTGTGCTTGCATTTTCAGCGCGCTTGCTACTACTATATACATGTATGCCTGTGTACGTGTGTGTGTGCGTGTGTCTATATAAGCCACACTCGCGACGAAAAACTTTTTCCATCTCATCTTTCCGCTTTCCAACTTAGAGCTTGGTAATGCCGTAGGTCGAACATTTTATTCGAATGGCATAAATAAGTGTATATTAGAGAAATGATTTTTCCAGCTCTATGGGAGAAAAAAGACAATGGGCAACCTTGAGCCGTGCGTATAATGTGTGTCGAGCCTGTGTCTGTACTTATAAGTCGCTAATCTCGCGAGTTGCATACTTTCACTGTGTGTGGTGCTCTACGATGAATGTCTACATAACAGCGGACAAAGACGCTGATAATTGTTTGCGCCAGCTCGTAAACACAAAGACAATTGTTTGCTCCTTTAATATGATACAGATGATGCGCTTCGAGGCGCGCGCGCAGAACGAGGTGCATTTATTGAACGATTGAAAAATTGCTATCCTCGTGAAGCATATGTAGAGCCAGCTCCAAGTGCGAGACAATGGTATAAGTGACGATAATTGGCCCATTTGACAATAATGACAAATGTTGATATTGCCGACTATTGAATACGTAATTGCACCTTGTAAATCATAGTGCGGCACTTGGTTGACTTTGAAAAGCCAGTAATATACAATGTGACGCACATACCCCCTGTTGTATAAATACGCCGAGAATATCAAAAAATTTTCTGTGGGATGATAATTTTTCTAATTTACTAATTTATAAAAGAAAAATTGTATAATTCAACAATTAAAAAATACTAACATTTTTTCCAAATTCTGCAACCCGTGTTTGTATCGAATAGATTATATTATCGATTTGGTTTTTATCGATGCGGTTTATATTGACTCTTTAGGGGTGAAACTTTGCGAGTAACCACTAGTTGAGACTCAATTCTAGTATTCATGAATGCAATGTAATTATGCAATGTAATGACCGAATGTATTGGTTAAAAATTCCATTCAGTTTATCATTGTTAAAACAGACAAGCTTCTAGTTTTTAAAACAATCCGAAGAACGTAGTGGAGTACAAGCAAAAGCTTATACATGTATGAAATTCTGAGTCGCGAGAGGAAAAATTACCGCTCATTTGATAAGTCACTCTTTCCTCCGTTTTCCCGGGCAGGATGAGAAAATCGTCGACTCGTTTATAAATATTTATAAAAAGTATTATTCGGAGACGTGGATATGACATGGTGGCGTGTTATATATAAGGTGCGCAAGACATCGCGTCGGACGATATCGTCGGAAAGCTATTCACGTAGCGAGTTCGTCGGTTATAGAACTGATAAAATTTCTCAACCAGGCTAGGCGAATTTATTCCTTCCTTCGCACTCGCGCACTCACACACACACACACACATACATACATAGTTATACGCAGGATGGATGGGGAAGAAGAAGCAAGCTAGATTACGATGATAGTAGTACGGGTACGTATAGCTGCGAGGTTTTCGCGTTTATGTGTGTGTGTGTGCGTGTGTGTATGTATGCGTGCGCGTGTGTGCACCAGCATACCAACGGCAAGTTGAAATTCATCGTTATTCATCGTCGTCACCGCGGCGTAGGTATACGCGTGCGGGCGGGTGAAAAATTGTGTCTTCAGGAGCAAAGTTGCAAGTCGCTGCGCGCGCGGCGAAAGAATTTCGTCGCTAGCGCTACGCAAGCTCGCACGTACACTCGCACAATATATATATAGCATAGATGTATATAACATAGGTATACTCCAAGAGCGCCACTGCGAGCTGACTTTTTTTCTTTATTTTTCATTTCGCCAAACTTAGTATTAGTTTGATAGTGCCGCTGGTCTCTGCCGCGCGCTCCCGCAAATAGACATGCACTGGCTCACACAGGCTGCACACCTACTCTAATATCTATACCTACCATACCTGTATATATAGCCGTTGACGTAGAGCGTGTACGTATATATGCCTTTTTTATACATAGCTCGCGGCTCGGCTGTCACAAACAGAAACGCGCGAGATATCGTTTTTTCACTCCGCGAGTAAATTCAAAACCCTGCGCTACCTCTGCACTTCTATCCTCTCTCTCTCTCTCTCTCTCTCTCTCGTCCTCGCCCACTACCAGCCGCACGCGCTGAGCTGTTAATGCAATATACCCTGACTCTATATTTTATTTCACACGTATAGACACCGACTTACCCTCTACCTTTCTAGAACGTTTATTTCCTTTGCTTTTTTAACCCCCCTCACTGGCTCTTTCTCCCTCTGTCTCATCTTGCGCACGCGAGCTCCCGAGACGGCCTCGCAAAGATGCATCACGTGCATGTGCACCTACACATATATAACTATCTATGTATACTAGATCGAGGAAAAAACTTCAACGTGAGAAATTGCATTTTTACTCACTTTTTACTTGACTTTTACTCTGTTAAATTTTTACCAACTATGTGAGCTCCACATTATGTGCAGCAACATGAATTAGTGAATAGAGTTACTTTCCACAATAATAGAAATGACAATAACGCAAGATTCTTACCAGCAATATTTCTTTCCTTGCCTTTAACTTCGAAAATTAATTTGGAAAAATTGTCTTTGAAAAATATTTTTAATAATTAAATTTTTTCATAATGCTAACCTTGATACACAGTGGTTCAATCTGCATTGGTGATTACTTTTTGCGAACTCACATTGTTTTGTAAAAAAATGCATGCGAACACGTCGTAACTTCTAATAAATTCTCATATCACCAAAAAGTAGGGGTACGTTTCGAAAAAATTACACCGGTAAGCTCGTTTTACGTGTATGTTCATTCAAATGAGTTTTGAAATTACCTCTATGCCTATAGTAGATGTATGCGGAAGTTTAACCAAAAGCTCGTCGCACCTCCTTGAAACTGTTCACAAAGCTTTGAGCATCATACCTTCTCTTCTGGAAAAAAATGAGGATAAAAAAAGGTAAAATCATGTGTGGAGTGTTCGTTAAAGAGATTTTGTGAAATTAAAAAATTTACTTAGTTTGTAAAAGTTCTGTAATTGCGTTCAAAGTTAATATTATATTACTGTTGATGTATATAGATATATCTTTCGGAGATAAAGAAAAAACAGAGGGACGGGTTATCACGGGCTCACTGCTAATGAGAGAAATAATCTTCATCAAAGTGGCAATTACTATTTAGACAGAGAAACAGCTGCCCGTCAAAAGGTATTCGAAATGCATAGCGAATATTTGAAGCAACTTTAACGCTTTAAAAATCATCGGAGAAATAGCTAACAGTACAGGTTGAATTACTGGATTATTCGCAGAAAAAACAGTAATTAATTTTTGAAAATGTTCAGTTTCATCTGGTTTTTGTACTATGCAGTTGGGCAATCTGAATTTCTGTCCGAAAAGCGGATAAATAGCACCGAGCACTACGTACCTCGGGGTCCTTGTCTTATAACTTATTCATTTGATGGCACCACATGCGTGTATACAGAAATTCCTATGACTGCTCTTTGCAAATAATACATTTCCGGACTAAGGTACTTTACGACACCCCTGGAGACGTCCTTGCAGTGGCGGTGATACGCACTACTTGCATTTCTCTCTCTTTCTATCTCTATCTCTCTTTCCCACACCCGGTCGTACTGAGTCATATATATCTTTCTTTCGCGGGGCGAGTATTGCGTTCGCTTTTTCGAGATACAGTGATGAATTTCTGAATCGCCTGTGAGTTGAGGAGGAAGTGTAATTTTAATTTCGTTTCCCCAGGGTGACTCCAGGTCTCTCTTTTTCCCTCGCGATGTAGCAGTGCGTCTCTTTCTCTCTCTCTCTCTCTCTCTCTCTCTCTCTCTCTCTTCTCTCTATCTCAATTTCCACCGCCCTTTTCTTCTATCCACAGTGAAAATATATCTATACACACTCCAACAACACCTACATATAGTAATGGGAACTTGAACGCTTGGTAATTGCAAAAGTTTCATTGTGATGGTAAAAGTAGCGTCTGCTTGTTTGTTTTCCCTTTTTTTTCTTTTTTCTCCGCCCTTTGGATGCAAGTTTCAAGAAAAAGAACTCCTATAGCTTTATAGGATTATCAGATGTTTCAATAAATTATTAACGTAAAAGGTATTTTCGAAAATATAATTAAATAGTAGTTATTTAACTAGATTAATAACGAAAAGCTGCAATTATAAGTTAAAAAGATATAAGTATAAAAATAACTACGAGATAATAAATAAATAATTTATTTTCAACGATTCTATGTCAAGTTTTAAAAATATATGCAAACTTAAAAAACGAGTGCAATTTACCCACATAGAATTGTATATCGCTTTGCTTAAAATCTCATGAAGTTGTTCATTTTTTTGTAAGATAAAAAAATGATAAAAATAATGCAAAGTGAATAAAATATTCTATAATGGGATGATAATCCTAATAAAAACGCCTGAAAGTGGAGTTTTTATAATCATAATCAAAGTTCAAAGATTTATTAATATTGAGACTATTGTAGATCATTACAAAATTCACCAAGAAAGGCTGTACGCCTGGTGATGGCTTTCTTTGTATACTAGCAAGCTTGACGGGATCACACTTCAGAAATCATCAATATGTAGGCATAGTTGATTATTCG